CAGAGGCTAGGCAAGGATAGAGGCTAGGCGAGACGAGAGCGGCGACGAGACAGGGGAGAGACGACGCGAGAGGAGAGGAGCGAGGCGTATGGTAGAGGCATGGCGAGAGAAGTGAGCAACACGCGAAAGGCACGGGCTAGACATGGCTGAAAGCGGCGGCGCGAGAGGAGGTAGGCGAGGAGAGGGGATAAAGGCGAGTAGGGAGGAGAGAGATGGCGGGAGGTGAGACAGGAGACGCGGGAGGAGAGAGGTGGCGGAGAGAGGAGAGAGGCGCCTAAAGAGAGGAGAGCGGCGAGGGGGATGAGGGGAAGCACCGCGAGATAGGAGGCGGGTTGAGAAGGGGAGCAATGCAACATACGAAGCGAAGTGGGAGGGGGAGCCACGCGGGATAAGAAGCGTGGCAGAGAGGGGAGGCGAGGCGGAGAGGGGAGGCGAGGCTGAGAGGGGAGGCGAGGCAGAAGGGGGAGGCGTGGCGGGAGGGGTGGCGAGGTGGGGAGGGAGGCGAGGCGTAGAGGGGAGGCGTGGCGGAGAGGGGAGGCGAGGCAGAGAGGGGGGCGAGTCAGAGAGGGGAGGCAAGCAGAGGGGGAGGCGAGGCAGAGGGGGGAGGCGAGGCGGAGAGGGGAGGCGAGGCTGAGAGGGAGGCGAGGCAGAGAGGGGAGGCGAGGCGGAGAGGGGAGGTGTGGCGGAGAGGGGAGGCGAGGCAGAAGGGGGAGGCGTGGCGGAGAGGGGTGGCGAGGTGGGGAGGGGAGGCGAGGCAGAGAGGAGAGGCGAGGCAGAGAGGGGGGCGAGTCAGAGAGGGGAGGCAAGCAGAGGGGGGAGGCGAGGCAGAGGGGGGAGGCGAGGCGGAGAGGGAGGCGAGGCTGAGAGGGGAGGCGAGGCAGAGAGGGGGGCGAGTCAGAGAGGGGAGGCAAGCAGAGGGGGAGGCGAGGCAGAGGGGGAGGCGAGGCGGAGAGGGGAGGCGAGGCTGAGAGGGAGGCGAGGCTGAGAGGGGAGGCGAGGCGGAGAGGGGAGGTGTGGCGGAGAGGGGAGGCGAGGCAGAAGGGGAGGCGTGGCGGAGAGGGGTGGCGAGGTGGGAGGGGAGGCGAGGCAGAGAGGAGAGGCGAGGCAGAGAGGGGGGCGAGGCAGAGAGGGGAGGCGAGGCAGAGAGGGGGGGCGAGTCAGAGAGGGGAGGCAGCAGCAGAGGGGGAGGCGAGGCAGAGGGGGAGGCGAGGCGGAGAGGGGAGGCGAGGCTGAGAGGGGAGGCGAGGCTGAGAGGGGAGGCGAGGCGGAGAGGGGAGGTGTGGCGGAGAGGGGAGGCGAGGCGGAGAGGGAGGTGTGGCTGAGAGGGGAGGCGAGCAGAAGGGGAGGCGTGGCGGAGAGGGGTGGCGAGGTGGGGAGGGGAGGCGAGGCAGAGAGGGGAGGCGTGGCGGAGAGGGGAGGCGAGGCAGAGAGGGGGGCGAATCAGAGAGGGGAGGCAAGCAGAGGGGGAGGCGAGGCAGAGGGGGAGGCGAGGCGGAGAGGGGAGGCGAGGCTGAGAGGGGAGGCGAGGCTGAGAGGGGAGGCGAGGCGGAGAGGGGAGGTGTGGCGGAGAGGGGAGGCGAGGCAGAAGGGGGAGGCGTGGCGGAGAGGTGGCGAGGTGGGGAGGGGAGGCGAGGCAGAGAGGAGAGGCGAGGCAGAGAGGGGGGCGAGGCAGAGAGGGAGGCGAGGCAGAGAGGGGGGCGAGTCAGAGAGGGGAGGCAAGCAGAGGGGGGAGGCGAGCAGAGAGGGGGAGGCGAGGCGGAGAGGGGAGGCGAGGCTGAGAGGGGAGGCGAGGCTGAGAGGGGAGGCGAGGCGGAGAGGGGAGGTGTGGCGGAGAGGGGAGGCGAGGCGGAGAGGGGAGGTGTGGCTGAGAGGGGAGGCGAGGCAGAAGGGGAGGCGTGGCGGAGAGGGGTGGCGAGGTGGGGAGGGAGGCGAGGCAGAGAGGGGAGGCGTGGCGGAGAGGGGAGGCGAGGCAGAGAGGGGGGCGAATCAGAGAGGGGAGGCAAGCAGAGGGGGGAGGCGAGGCAGAGGGGGAGGCGAGGCGGAGAGGGGAGGCGAGGCTGAGAGGGGAGGCGAGGCTGAGAGGGGAGGCGAGGCGGAGAGGGGAGGTGTGGCGGAGAGGGGAGGCGAGGCAGAAGGGGGAGGCGTGGCGGAGAGGGGTGGCGAGGTGGGGAGGGGAGGCGAGGCAGAGAGGAGAGGCGAGGCAGAGAGGGGGGCGAGGCAGAGAGGGGAGGCGAGGCAGAGAGGGGGGCGAGTCAGAGAGGGGAGGCAAGCAGAGGGGGAGGCGAGGCAGAGGGGGAGGCGAGGCGGAGAGGGGAGGCGAGGCTGAGAGGGGAGGCGAGGCTGAGAGGGGAGGCGAGGCGGAGAGGGGAGGTGTGGCGGAGAGGGGAGGCGAGGCGGAGAGGGGAGGTGTGGCTGAGAGGGGAGGCGAGGCAGAAGGGGGAGGCGTGGCGGAGAGGGGTGGCGAGGTGGGGAGGGGAGGCGAGGCAGAGAGGGGAGGCGTGGCGGAGAGGGGAGGCGAGGCAGAGAGGGGGGGCGAATCAGAGAGGGAGGCAAGCAGAGGGGGGAGGCGAGGCAGAGGGGGGAGGCGAGGCGGAGAGGGGAGGCGAGGCTGAGAGGGAGGCGAGGCTGAGAGGGGAGGCGAGGCGGAGAGGGGAGGTGTGGCGGAGAGGGGAGGCGAGGCAGAAGGGGGAGGCGTGGCGGAGAGGGTGGCGAGGTGGGGAGGGAGGCGAGGCAGAGAGGAGAGGCGAGGCAGAGAGGGGGGCGAGGCAGAGAGGGGAGGCGAGGCAGAGAGGGGGGGCGAGTCAGAGAGGGGAGGCAAGCAGAGGGGGGAGGCGAGGCAGAGGGGGAGGCGAGGCGGAGAGGGGAGGCGAGGCTGAGAGGGAGGCGAGGCTGAGAGGGGAGGCGAGGCGGAGAGGGGAGGTGTGGCGGAGAGGGGAGGCGAGGCGGAGAGGGGAGTGTGGCTGAGAGGGGAGGCGAGGCAGAAGGGGGAGGCGTGGCGGAGAGGGGTGGCGAGGTGGGGAGGGGAGGCGAGGCAGAGAGGGGAGGCGTGGCGGAGGGGAGGCGAGGCAGAGAGGGGGGGCGAATCAGAGAGGGGAGGCAAGCAGGGGGGAGGCGAGGCAGAGGGGGGAGGCGAGGCGGAGAGGGGAGGCGAGGCTGAGAGGGAGGCGAGGCTGAGAGGGGAGGCGAGGCAGAAGGGGGAGGCGTGGCGGAGAGGGTGGCGAGGTGGGGAGGGGAGGCGAGGCAGAGAGGAGAGGCGAGGCAGAGAGGGGGGGCGAGGCAGAGAGGGGAGGCGAGGCAGAGAGGGGGGGCGAGTCAGAGAGGGGAGGCAAGCAGAGGGGGAGGCGAGGCAGAGGGGGAGGCGAGGCGGAGAGGGGAGGCGAGGCTGAGAGGGGAGGCGAGGCTGAGAGGGGAGGCGAGGCGGAGAGGGGAGGTGTGGCGGAGAGGGGAGGCGAGGCGGAGAGGTGGAGGTGTGGCTGAGAGGGAGGCGAGGCAGAAGGGGGAGGCGTGGCGGAGAGGGTGGCGAGGTGGGGAGGGGAGGCGAGGCAGAGAGGGGAGGCGTGGCGGAGAGGGGAGGCGAGGCAGAGAGGGGGGGGCGAATCAGAGAGGGGAGGCAAGCAGAAGGGGGAGGCGAGGCAGAGGGGGGAGGCGAGGCAGAGAGGGGAGGCGAGGCGGAGAGGGGAGGCGAGGCGGAGAGGGCAGGCAAGGCAGAGAGGGGAGGCGAGGCGTAGAGGGGAGGCGAGACAGAGAGGGGAGGCGTGGCGGAGAGGGAGGTGAGGCGTAGAGGAGAGGCAAGCAGAGAGGGGAGGCGAGGCAGAGAGGGGAGGCGAGGCGGAGAGGGGAGGCGAGGCGGAGAGGCCCTCTGTCCCTGTGCGCTAACCACCCTGCCGTCCCCTCTCGCCCCATGCACTAGCCCTCCTTGCTTCCCCTCTGTCCCTGTACGCTAACCACCCTCCCCTTTCTGCCTCACCTCCCCACTCCGCCTCGCCTCCCCTCTCTGCCTCGCCTCCCCTCCGCCTCTCCTCCCCTCTCCGCCACGCCTCCCCTCTCTGCCTTTCCTCCCCTCTTTGCCTCGCCTCCCCTCTCTGACTCGCCCCCCCTCCACTCTCTGCCTCGCCTCCCCTCTACGCCTTGCCTCCCCTCTCTGCCTTGCCTTCCCTCTCCACCTCGCCTCCCCTCTCCGCCACGCCTCCCCTCTCCGCCTTGCCTCCCCTGTCTGCCTCGCATGCACCAGGGGGAGAGGGGAAGTCTGGGTGGTTAGCGCTCAGGGAAAGAGGGGCAGGAAGGGGGGTTACTGCACAGGGTGAGAAGGGAAGGCAGGGTGGTTAGTGCACAGGGAGAGAGGGGCAGCAAGGGGGGTTACTGCACGGGGTGAGAGGGAAGGCAGAGTGGTTAGCGTACAGGGACAGAGGGGCAGCAAGGAGGGTTAGAGCACGGGGTGAGAGGGGAAGGCAGGGTGGTTAGCGCACAGGGACAGAGGGGCGGCAAGGTGGGTCATTGTATGGGGTGATAACTAAAGGTTATGGGATAAAGGCGACACGAGTTTCCCACAAAGACCCACCCACCTCCCCCTCACCACTGCCCCCCCCCTCTTCTACGTCTCCACATCATCATGACCCGACTCCCAGTTTCGGGCTCCAGGACCAGCACAATGGCGCATCCCAGCATAAACTCCCTCGGCTACGCTTTCTTTTGCGGAATGCAACGACTGGGCCTTTGTGCTCAGATTCCATCCCAAAGCAACTACAAAAGACTATCACCGGCACATGCATGATCTAGGCAATGCAGCAAAGTGTATTTTGAGCCATCGGTCAAACCCAATGACTTTCACTAGGTTAGTTGAGAAACTGTCAGGAGGCATCCCGCCTTGCAATATCGGCATGGAGGGAAATGAGAGCCACATCTTCTCCCACAACCCCCCACGCACAGTGCATGTTTGTAGTATTACACATAGAATGTAACATGCTATCAAAATATGAGTAGCAAAGCTCCGAGCTAGTTGGCTGGCATTCTTGAATAATTACACCCCGGATTCAAAAAGATGCTGCAATAGGATACCCCCACCAGAGAGGGGTGGCTGAGGGGAGCAATCCGAGACAAAACAGCACCCTGGTGAACGGGGGAGACAACCTGCAAGCCATAACGAAGCAGAGAACAAACAAGGAAACTAAGACAAGAGTGGGGAACATGGATGCGATGATGACGAATCCAAGCGAAGGTGCGAAGGGGGAAGGTTCATCTGGTGCTAGTGATTACGACTCTTTGCCTGATGTGTCGAGAGGAGATGGACGACGCGGGTTAGGATAGATCCTAAGTCTGAGAGGGTAGGACAGGGTGGTTAGTGCACAGGGCCAGAGGGAGGCAATGTTGGATAGTGCAACGGAGGGAGAGGGGAAGTCAGAGTGGTTAGCGCACAGGGTCAGAGGGCAGCAAGGAGGGTTAGGGCACGGGGTGAGAGGGAGGACAGGGTGGTTAGCGCACAGGGACAGAGGGCAGCAAGGTGGGTTAGGGCACCAGGGGAAGAGGGGAAGCCAGGGTGTTTAGTGCACAGGGACAGAGGGGCAGCGAGGTGGGTTAGTGCATGGGGTGAGACGGGAAAGCACAGTGGTTAGTGCACAGGGACAAAGGGGCAGCAAGGTGGGTAGTGCACGGGGGGGAAGGGAAGTCAGAGTGGTCAGCGCACAGGGACAGAGGGCAGCAAGGAGGGTTGGAGCACGGGGTGAGAGGGGTAGGCAGGGTTAGCTAACAGGGACAGAGGGCAGCAGGGTGGGTTAGTGCACTGGGGGAGAGGGGAAGCCAGGGTGGTTAGCGCTCAGGGAGAGAGGGTCAGCAAGGTGGGTAAGGGCATGGGGTGAGGGGGGAAGGTAGGGTGGGTAGCGCACAGGGACAGAGGGGCAGCAAGGTGGGTTAGTGCATGGGGTGAGACGGGAAAGCAGGGTGGTTAGTGCACAGGGACAGAGGGGCGGCAAAATGGCTTAGTGCACGGGGGAGAGGGGAAGTCAGAGTGGTCAGCGGACAGGGACAGTGGGGCCGCAAGGAGGGTTAGGGCACGGGGTGAGAGGAGGGACGGGTGGTTAGCGCACAGGGACAGAGGGGCGGCAAGGTGGGTTAGTGCACGGGGGGAGAAGGGAAGTCAGAGTGGTCAGCGCATAGGGACAGAGGGGCAGCAAGGTGGGTTGGAGCACGGGGTGAGGGTAGGCAGGGATAGCTAACAGGGACAGAGGGGCAGCAGGGTGGGTTAGTGCACTGGGGGGAGAGGGGAAGCCAGGGTGGTTAGCGCTCAGGGAGAGAGGGTCAGCAAGGTGGGTAAGGGCATGGGGTGAGGGGGAAGGTAGGGTGGTTAGCGCACAGGGACAGAGGGGCAGCAAGGTGGGTTAGTGCATGGGGTGAGACGGGAAAGCAGGGTGGTAGTGCACAGGGACAGAGGGGCGGCAAAATGGCTTAGTGCACGGGGGAGAGGGGAAGTCAGAGTGGTCAGCGGACAGGGACAGTGGGGCCGCAAGGAGGGTTAGGGCACGGGGTGAGAGGGGAGGACAGGGTGGTTAGCGCACAGGGACAGAGGGGCGGCAAGGTGGGTTAGTGCACGGGGGGAGAAGGGAAGTCAGAGTGGTCAGCGCACAGGGACAGAGGGGCAGCAAGGTGGGTTGGAGCACGGGTGAGAGGGGTAGGCAGGGTTAGCTAACAGGGACAGAGGGGCAGCAGGGTGGGTTAGTGCACTGGGGGAGAGGGGAAGCCAGGGTGGTTAGTGCACAGGGAAAGAGGGGTAGCAAGGTGGGTTAGTGCACGGGGGGGCGAAGGGAAGTCAGAGTGGTCAGCGCACAGGGACAGAGGGGCAGCAAGGAGGGTTAGGGCACGGGGTGAGAAGGGAGGACAGGGTGGTTAGCGCACAGGGATAGAGGGGTGGCAAGGTGGGTAGGGCACTGGGGGGAGAGGGGAGGACAGGGTGGTTAGCGCACAGGGACAGAGGGGCGGCACGATGGGTTAGTGCACGGGGGGAGAAGGGAAGTCAGAGTGGTCAGCGCACAGGGACAGAGGGGCAGCAAGGAGGGTTAGGGCACGGGGTGGAGAAGGAGGACAGGGTGGTTAGCGCACAGGGACAGAGGGGTGGCAAGGTGGGTTAGGGCACGGGGGGAGAGGGAGGACAGGGTGGTAGCGCACAGGGACAGAGGGGGGCGTGGGCACAAAGTCGGTTAGGGGCAGCGGGGGGAGAGGGGGAAGAGACAGGGTGGTTAGCGCACAGGGACAGGAGGGGCGGGGGCACAAGTGGGTTAGTGCACGGGGGGAGAAGGAAGTCAGGAGTGGTCAGCGCACAGGGACAGAGGGGGCAGCAAGAGGTGGGTTAAGCAGGGGTGAGGACGAGGGAGCAGGGTGGTTAGCGCCAGGGAAAGAGGGGGCAAGGGTGGTTAGGCACCGGGGGGAAGATTGGGGACGGAAAGGGAAGTCAGAGTGGTCAGCGGGGCAGAGGGGCACAGGGTGGAGGGGTGGGGGAGGGAGACCAGCTCACAAAAACGGTGCGCAGGCCGGATAACTATGTGGGAGGCACACCAAAAAAAAACTGGGCCAGAGCAGGTGTAAAAGTCCCCAACACTCCACCTCCGCGGTTGTGGTATTATTGTGGCATAAGGACCATGGCCCCTTTTTGTAAATAGGGGAGAGAGGGAGGCGGGTTTAGGGGGGGAGAGTCAGACAACACGTGTCGTGAAGCATGTGCATGGCAACCAGAGTTGGGACGTGCTCGCGGTTCGTTGTGCGTCAAGTCCAAGTTACAAGGCATGCTAGGAGGCACGGCTCGGGTTGACGGCAACATAACGATACAACTCACCGTTTAGGCTGCGCCGTGCCCCAAGGGCCGGGGCTCGCGTCGCGCGGCTCGTGTCGACTGCCGAAGTCTCAAATTGTGCACGTTGGAGCCCACTGAAATTCCGGGAGACGCAATGTCGGGAGGCGAGACTGCTGTCTGAGGTGTTGCTGTCCCCGTCATGTGCCCGAGTTGCAGGCGAACCATTCATGGCCGTCGACGCAAGATCATCATCAGTCTGTTCCTCCGAGGGTCGCCGCCACTCGTGTAGGATGTTGTCGACCCAACACCAGTCCATCGGACCCAGTACCCGGTCCCCTCCGTCCGCCGCCGCACTCTCGTGATATGACGCACACGCGTGACAAAAGCGCGCACGATCCGGTCCATGCAATTGTTCCAATGTATTACTGCCAGAGCCACCCTCGCGTCATAGCTTCCTTGAAACCTGTTTCTTTTTGGGGCGTACTTCAGAATGAGCGAATGAAATGACTCATTCATGGAACTCGTAGCGCCCTCCACAATGCAAGCCACCTTGGCTATACTAAAGTTCCTACGACACCAATCCCTCACTGCCAAGTGTGTAGCGGAGTTCCGCTCGTATATAGCGCACTCAGGACCCCAGTTCTCCGACACGCATTTTGGCGTTGCACCTGCCCGTGCACCACACCGTGAGTGATCCCCTGCCCAGTGTCAGCACACAGGCACAACTCCTCCGATACCTCCTCGGGAGTCGGAGTGTTCCCGTCAGCCGACCGTGCCCCGCTACGCAGCATACAATGATAAAAGTGCACGCCCAACCTGTCCGCCACGGTGTGCACCTTTTTGCCCCCCCGTGGTGCCCCGCTGTCTTCCCCACCGGCAGCCGACCCTCTACGCGTCCGTCTTCTTGGGGCTCGCCGACCCCAACGCCTGCCGCTCTGCTGCTGGGTCCCCGCTGCCGGATCCACGTTCTCGTCTGCCCCACTTCCCTGTCTGTTGTTTTCCTCTCCCTCCACATCCATGTCGCCACCGCCCATGTGGGCTTGGTTGCCTGCACGCACAAAATCAGAGCGCATGTGATTGCCGCTCACATGAGAACCCGATCGACTGCAAGATGAACTCAATAACCGATTTGAATGATCACGCACATCCGTTCATAGCCGTTTCTCTCCACACAGAAAGCTCTACTACATATCACCTGGGTTTGTATTTGGTACTTGATCGTCTTCCATCATGAAGTGACGCCCCTCCCCGATGCCGTTCCATGCTTGGACAAGCAACATCGATGCGTGCGAGTGGGGCCGTATCCCCCGCACTGGATGGACGTCACCATCCCACAATTCCTCCACATCAGACCATCTAACCATAGCGTCCGGCATCCTCTCCGTACCCCCTCAGCCATGCCTCCATTCCTGTCGCTTTCACTTTCCTCTGGCGCATCTCCTCCTACCGCCCCCGCCCCCTGCTCCCTTGGTACTTCCCCTCGTCCCGTGTTGTTGGCTGTCCTAACTCCCCTTTCCAACCTCACTACTTGTTGCAGCTCTAGGTGCAAATACTTTGCATCCGACTCCTTCATGTCTTTGACTCAAACGCACGCCAAAAGACATACTGCGCGAATGATTTCTTTTTTCCCCGCGATCTGCTACCCCCCCACCTCGGGAAGGATGCCCTAACCACTCTAACAGTTTTTTCACTGTGATTAGATATAGATCCTCACATACGATTGCCCCGTCTACCGTGCAGCCTTTCGAGTCGCGTCCTGCACCTTTTCCCTAAAGTTACGGACCACAGAACCACACTTATGCCACCAATCTACTTGGTGCTTCACACCTCGCTCGTTGGCGGCTCCACTATAAGTGTTTCCCTCATCCGTGACAATGCCCTCTAGCCCAAAACCACTATTCACTAACTCGTCCATGCCCTGGTTGAACGCTACCCTCTCTAGCATCACCGATGAGTCGTCATCCCTCCCTCTCCTAGTGTTTTTACACATCATGATTTTTCGGGATTCACGGTCCATGAACGACACCGTGCACCATTTGGCTTCGCGAACATTCGACCAACGACCATCGATGCACAGCCATCTTCTATTTACTGGACGCTGTGACATGCTCACTCGAACTGCTTCCATACTGCTTTTGGCCTGCTCTATGATCGCACTCCATAGACCACTATCGCCACCCATGAAGCGGTAAAATGTTCCATGGCCTGGACGTGGAACACCCAAGCTGCGACATATCTCCCAAGTTTGTTGATACCCGATTCCTGCTAGAGCAAAGGCTCCCACAAGCTTATGCATCACTGGAGGGGTTCGTGGTCCAGGCTTACTCGATGGCAAATCGTCCCTTACCCT